CAAGTTGTCCTGAAACCAGTATAGGCTGTGGGATACCGTTCTCTCCTTTTCCAAGACCTTTACCAGGGGTGTATCCTTGAGTCAACATTTGTGCAGTAACTATATCATTTGGACTACACATTATAATTTTCATTTGAGAGAGTAGATCTCGCCCCCAAAGGTTAACAGGTAGGTAAGGGATGACAAATGGCTTAATGAGGCCTGAATTGTTTTCTTTATCTGTCCATGTTAGGTATTTGGAACTTTGTTTAGGATTACTGCTTTGTCCAATTCCTCTCAAGTGAGTTAAAGTTTCTGTGGTAGACCAATGAGAGGGCCAATCTTCCTCTTTAATGATAGTTACGTCAGCCCCTGTGTCTATTAGTCCAGTGAATGCCTTCCCGTCTAACCATAAGGTTAGAGAGGGTTTTTGATTTGTAATTGGTTGCACCCAATATATATCTGATGATCCGAAACCTTTTATATATCTATTAGAGTATTGGATATTATTATCTGTTTTAACCAAAGGTAGCAGGAGTAACTGAGCTATTCTAACTCCTCGAGGGACAGTAATAATACTATCAATAGCTCTGGCCATGATTTTAATTTCTCCTTCATAATCATTATCGATAACTCCAGGGAGGACTTGTGAGCCTCTCATGGTGACACTACTTCTTCCTAAAAGTAGCCCAAAAGTGTTAGGTGGTAAGGGTCCATATATTCCGGTATTTAAGGTTTGCGGTCCCATTTCAGGTGTTAGTATTGTGTGGGAGGTGGAACTGAGGTCCAATCCTGCACTTCCTGGGGTTGCTCTACTAAGTTTTGAAATGGATTGCTGTTGCTGGCTGGAACAAAACTGACTGCCCCATATGCTTGTTTCGGGGCCTGAGGCTGGCCCCTCATCCCGTTTCCCTGCCTGGGGGGTAAAGGATTTCCTTGACTGTCAGTTTTAGATTTACATTCGTTTGCCCAGTGCCTTCCTCTTTTACACCTTGGGCAAAGGCCTGGGATTTTTGCTTCTGGACTCTTATTTTGGTTTTCACAGCAATCTTTTGCAAAGTGTCCCCTTTTACCGCATCTAAAACATCCCCCTTTATCTTTACCTTTGTTAATGAGGAAATCTCTTACTGTTTGGCCGCTAAAAGCGGCGGCCATTGCTAGGCCTTGTTGATATGAGGGCCCAATATCTGAACAAAGGCGAATGTATCCTGTTAAATCTGTTTTCTTTCGATAAGGTCTGATTGCCGCTTGGCAGGCGGGGTTAGCATTTTCATAAGCTAACTGTTTAACATAATCTACACCCGTTTCTGCATTTCCAAAGATTCTACCTGCCGTGGTCATAAGTCTATGCACAAAGTCTGAAAATGGCTCATCGGGTCCTTGTTTAACCGCTGTGAGCGAGGCCCCCTGGATCTCCTTTAACGGGAAGTTTTCTCCAGGCTTTTGTAGCAGCAGCCTGGATTTGTGAGAACAGTCCAGGGTCATATTGCATTTGGGCCTGAGTGTCCACATAATTACCTGAACCAGTTAACATATCAAAATCCCAACTGTTTCCTGCCTGTTGATTTCTTTTAGCTGTATCTCTACAATTTTCAAAGAACTCTGACTTCCAAATTAAGTGGTCTCCCCCAGAAAGAACTGCCCTGACTAAGGTATTCCAGTCTGTAGGAGTGAGCCAATTCTCAGCTACAGATTCCACTATAGCAAGAGTATATGGAGCAGTAGCCCCATACTGAGAGGCAGCAGTCTTTAACTCTTTTATAATAGTAAAATCAAATCCAGTATGATGCCTCCAAGCCTGTCCCTGTTCATCTATGGTTTCCGTGACCGGAAAAACGTCTTTGGGGGAGGAGTCTTCTCTATGTCGGCTAGCAACTAACCCCCCTCTTGGAACATGTTGTCCAGGCCGCTGAAGTGGGCACAAGGAACCCTCCATAGCGTCTGAGTTAGGTATTTTTTCATTTCCTGTTTTTAGCTTTTGGAGCCTAATTATCAATGATTGATGTAACTCTTCAAGTTTAATCTGTTCTTCTAGTTGAGCAATTTTTTGCTTTAATTCTTCTTTAGGATCTATTGCTGCCATAATAATGGGCGCAGAAGCCTCATTATGTGTCTTATTATATGGGGGTGGGTATGAAGTAAAGGGAGGCAAATCAGGGTTGTGATATTTAGCCGCCTCTTCCTCTAAATCATCCCAATTGATATCCAATTGATTAGGCTTATTAATTTCCTCCTCCTTTTGAAGCATCTGTAAAATTGGGTATTTTTTTTGGTTTGTTTTCGTGTGGTGTTTCTTTATCTGTTACAGAAGGAGACTTGATTTCCTCATGATCACTTTCGAGGGAAATGAGATCCTCCTCCGTATCTTGTGGAGGCTTTGCGAGGTTAGAGCGGGAGCTAACCTTTAAAATATGCTCTGTCTGAGCGACCGCAGCCATGGCTTGTGGATCGGCCTCCTTCTTATCTATTAAATCTCTAATGAGGTTCCAATAAGAGAAGGCGGTTACAGGAATTTTTTCTGGCCCAAAAGTATTATAATAGTCCTGAAGACAATCCCCTACTCTACGCCATCTTTTAATATCAATAGTTCCTTCCTGTGGGAACCAAGGGCAAGTGTCTTTTACAAAATCAAAAAATTTAAACAAATCATTACCTTTAACCTTTACTCCTCGTATCTTTAAAGCCTCTTTTAATTGTCCTACATATATTTGATGTTGGCTTAATTCTTGTCCCATTTCGGACGCGCCACTTACCTTCGATCCTGACGCGGCAGGTTCCCGCAGTGATCGGAAGAGTTTGACTCCTTTTGTCTTCGTTAGCGGTCGACCGTCCTTTGGCGTCCTTTTCCTCACGGAGTCCCTCGTTTCCAGGTCCCTGTTCGGGCGCCACGTATCCCGGCCCGCGGGATAGTCAGAGCAGGCCCTGGAGGAGGGGGTGGGAATTTGGGGAACAAGAGACACGAGAAATGGAGACAAGACAGTGCTCTGATCAAGTCTCGTTTAATGGCGGTAATGCACTGCCTTATATACACTTGGAAGGGAAGGGGTTGGGCTAAGGCGGAAATGATCTCATTGCTGAGGGCGTGGCCAGGTTAGTTTGGGTTTCTCGGGTGGGACGTCATGTTGCGCTTGCGCTATTAAGTAACAATTTTCCCGGGCGCGGGAAAAGTGAGTGAAGAAGAAGCAGGAAGAGCGCCATCTTTAACGAGGTATTAGTACAGGGGAAAAAAGGCAAAGATAGGGAGAAGGTGTGGGGTGGAAATGAATATAGCTCGGGCGTTTAATCTTCAATTATTATTCGCTATGGCCGGGGCGTGCAGCTCCGGGCAGCCTAGTTTGCTACTTTTACTTCCAAGTTCCATCTTATGGAACTTCTAAAAAATTGAATACAAGAATTTAAATATAGACTTAATAAAGAGAAAAGTATTGGCATACACATTCCTTATGGAGAAGCTAGTGTGTTTTAAATCTTTTTGCCCTTAAATATTTAAGAAAAAAGTATTTTCTGACATATTACAGCATTTTCAGTGTAATTTGAATAGCACCAGTTTTTTTTTTAGCTGAATGATTGTTGAAAGTTTATATGCTTAGGGTTTTTTTGTTTACATATTTAATTTTTAACACAGAAATATATTAATGATGTCCACATCTTGTTGACATTTTGATGGCGATTAGTGCTAGTATTTTATGTATCTTTTTTTTTTTTTTGAGACAGGGTCTCACTGTGTTGTCCAGGCTAGAGTACAGTGGTGTGATCATATTAAACATAGGAGCATACCACAGCCTCCAACTCCTGGGCTAGAGAGATCCCCCTGCCTCAGTCTTTCAAGAAGCTGGGGCTACAGGCACGCAGCACCGTGACCAGTTAGTTTTGTCATTTTTTGTAGAGATGGGGTCTCAGTATGTTGCCCAGGCTGGTCTGAAACTCCTGGCCTCAAGCAATCCTCTTGCCTCAGCGTCCCAAATCTCTTGAGATTATAGGCACGAGCCACCTCACCCAGCCTATATATTAATCTAAATGAAATAAATTTTAAGCAAAGTTCCAAGTCTTTTGTTTATACTGCATTGCAACATTACTTTTTGCTTACTGATATTCCATGAACATTTTTTCATGTCACATAATCATTTCTATCGTATGACTTTTACCGATAATCATGTACTATTACATACTACATATATAATTATATACTTCCTTTAATTCTGAAAATGTTGTGTTTCTTCTGGCATTTTAGAATGATGAATTAACAAAGCAAATCTGAGTCAACTCCATGCACTATTTTTATTCCTTCGAAGAAATTTCTAGCATTCAAGTTGTTTAGATCAATGTGTATGAGTACTTGTATAGCTTTTGACTTGGTTTTTAATTTGCTGCAGAATTTTAGCAATTTATTTTGATGCCAGGGGTGTGTGCAAATGTCCCTGTCTTCACACCATCTCCAATATTAGTTATCACCTGGGAAACCTTTGCAAATAGTGTGAAATATTCCGTCAACTTTCTCCTGGTTTCATGACTTTACTTCTAAAATTAAAAAAAAAAAAAACCTGCATCCATTGGCCGTGGGTACTTCTTATTTTGTGTATTGTATGCTTTGCCTTTTATTCTTATATTCTGATATGACATTATTAATTTATAAACCTTCTTCATTTATTTACAGACATTAAATATTGCCAGCATGCAATATTATGCTCACGTTTTTCCACTTTATTTATGATTTTTTGTTTTGTTTTGTTTTGAGACTGAGTTTAGCTCTTGTTGCCCAGGCTGGAGTGCAGCGGTGCCATCTTGGCTCACTGCAACTTCCACCTCCAGGGTTCAAGTGATTCTCCTGCCTCATCCTCCCAAGTAGCTGGGATTACATGTGCCTGTCACCACACCCAGCTAATTTTTATATTCTTAGTAGAGATGGGGTTTCACTATGTTGATGAACAGGCTGGTTTTCCTGAGTTTTTCCTTTATTCTAAGACATGAAGACCCTTGGAGGAGTTCCAGGTTGACAGATGATGCTGTATTTTCTTTCCTAGGTAGCTTCTCAGATGCTGACCTTGCGGATGGCGTTTCAGGTGGAGAAGGTACAGTTACCTTGTTTTCTGTCTCTTTTCTCTCTCCATCCCATGATGCCCACCTGCTCTGCAGAATCACTACAGGGTCTAAACTCTCAGCCCTCTGTGAACTCACAGTGAAATGTTCAGTCATTTCTGTGGGAACTGCCCGTTTGCTGAGGCTTCAAGATTGTGGGAAGTAAAGGCTGCCCCATAGAGGATTGGTCCTGGGGGAAGAGTTCAGGGCCCAGGCAGCTGTCCCACTTTTCTGAGGGACAGGGCCTGTCGAATGGGCCCTTCTCACCACCTCCTCACCCATCCATTCGCCTGTGTATTCTTTCGAATAGCTAGTGTTGTTTCAGCTTCGTTTTATTGGGCTGTTTTCTGTAATTTAAGGAACGTGAATATTAAAGCCCTAAGAATAAAGAGAGAATGCCTGGGAGTACAGGTTCTCAGAGTACCCCTGGAGTGTAACAGGCAGCACCCCAGCTCTGTAGCTGGGTAACATGCACCCCCACAGAGTGTAACAGGCAGCATCCTATACAGCTGTGTAACATGCACCCCCACAGAGTGTAACAGGCAGCACCCCAGCTCTGTAGCTGTGTAACATGCACCCCCACAGTGTAATAGGCAGAGGCAGGACTCCAGCTCTGTAGCTGGGTAACATGTATCCCCGTAGAGTGTAAGAAACAGGACCCCAGCCTCTTCACGGTCCTGGCTGTGAATTTTTCCTTGATCCCGAATCTTCCAGATGCAGATTGTCAGCAGATGTTGCTTTTGTGTTGCAGGAAAAGGAGGCAGTGATGGTGGAGGAAGCCACAGGAAAGAAGGGGAGGAGGGTAGGTGCACCTGGCTTCTGCCATTTTTCTTCTTGTCTCTCCCATGTGGTGGTGAGAAGGGGAAGCAGAATGTCTGAGAGCTGGCGGACTACACTGGCATCGGCCTCCTGAAGCTACTGGCAGGAGACACGGGTGTTCTGTGCCCAGTGCTCCCAAGCGGTATAGCCACAGAGGTCCCCCCAGCAAACCAGCCCTGCTCCAGGTGCCCACGTGACCCAGATTTTACATTTGGTCACCTGCCCATGATGTTCTGGCTGGCGATCTGATCCCTACATCATGCTTAGCCTTGTCCTTGTGTTTACTAAAGCTCCTACACTCACCCTAACGATCAGAAGCTTGTGACGCGGCATCCTCCATTGCGCTTGGCCCTTGAGAACATCAGTGACCAGGTGGGAGGTGGGAATGTGGATTGCTCCCATCCTGGCTGTAACAGGCATTGTGTTCTCCATGAAAGTGCCGGTGATGTATCTCCTGTCTCCTTTTTCATAACCTTTTCCCTTAGATGGGACAAGAAAATAACAACAGAAAGAATTCCTTTTAAAACTGTAAAGAAAAAAAAAATGAGGTAAGAGAAAGAGAAAGTAGGGAGGAAGGAAGAAGGGAAGGAAAGAAGGAAGGAGGGATGGAGAGAGAGAAGGAAGGAAGGAGGAAAGAAGGGAAGAAGGAAGGAAGAGAGGGAAGGGAGGAAGGAAGGGAGGAGGAAGGGAGGGTGGGAGGAAGGAAGGAAGGAAAAGAGGAAGGGAGGGAGGGAGGGAGGAAGGAAGGACAAGAAAGACGGAGGGAGGGAAAAGAGGGAGGGAGGAGGAAGAAGGGAGGGAGGGAAGGAAGGGAAAGAGGGGAGGAAGGAAGGGAAAGAGGGGAGGGAGGGAGGGAGGGAAAGAAGGAAGGAAAGCAGGAGAAGGGAGGAGGAAAGGAAGGAATGAAGGAGAAGGGAGGAAAGGAATGAAGAAGAAGGGAGGAAAGGAAGGAAGGAGAGAGGGAAACAGAAGAAAAGAAGGAAAAGAAGGAAAGAGGGAAGGAGAGAGGAGAGACAGAAGAGAGGGAGGGGCGAGGACAATAGCTTCGTATTTTAGTATCTCACATCTCTAAAATTCTCAGGGACTTTGCTTCTAGCAAAATGCCTGGTTTTAAGCAGCTTCTTTGGCAGAAGAGGTACTAACTTGGCCAAAGATTTTAATACCTGTTTGCCATTTTAATCGCTGATAAAATGTGAATTATTAAAATACGCAACGAATGTTTGTGGAAAAAGAAAAGTGGGTAGTCTACCCTTGTTTTAGGTAGTTATGATTTTTATGGATACAGTTCTTGAATTCTAGGCTTTCTTTGAAGAGGTAGTAATCTGTCTGTAGCCCTCACCTGGGACTACAAGGTCATTTAAAAAAAAATAGCTAAGAAAACCCATGTCTGGCATGTTTATGGCAGGCCGTTGCTCTTGGCCTTCTGAAGAGTTCATGTTTACTATGCCACTTCATCAGGGAGGGGTAGTTAAGCTCAAAAAATCTTTCCATGACATGACTGTGTCTTGCACATATTAAAGACTGGCCGAATGAACACACCACCCACAGACCATGTTTGGAGCCAGTGTTTTTGCTGAAAGTCAGACAATTCTCCTTCCCCGTCACGGAGGGCAGAGAAGATTCTATCTGGAGAAGGGTCCTCTAAAGCTCACATCTGGCATTTGGAATTAAGAATCTCTTCATCGGCTGGGCGCCATGGCTCACACCTGTCATCCCAGCACTTTGGGAGGCTAAGGCGGGAGGATTGCTTGAGACCAAGAGTTCGAAATCAGCCTGGCCAACATGGTGAAACCCCTTCTCTACAAAAAATACAAAAATTAGGCCAGGTGTGGTGGCTCACGCCTGTAATCCCAGCACTTCGGGAGGCCAAGGTGGGTGGATCACTTGAGATCAGGAGTTTTGAGACCAGCCTGGTTAACATGATGAAACCCCATCTCTACAAAAAATACAAAAATTAGTAGGGCGTGTAGCATGCACCTATAGTCCCAGCTACTCGAGAGGCACAAGAATTGCTTGAACCCGGGAGGCAGAGGCTGCAGTGAACTGAAATCGTGCCACTACACTCCAGCCTGGGTGACAAAGTAAGACTGCATTTCAAAAAAAAAAAAAAAAAAATGGCCGGGCACGGTGGCTCAAGCCTGTAATCCCAGCACTTTGGGAGGCCGAGACGGGCGGATCACGAGGTCAGGAGATCGAGACCATCCTGGCTAACACAATGAAACCCCGTCTCCACTAAAAATACAAAAAAATTAGCCGGGCGTGGTGGCGGCGCCTGTAGTCCCAGCTACTCAGGAGGCTGAGGCAGGAGAATGGCGGGAACCCGGGAGGCGGAGCTTGCAGTGAGCCGAGATCGCGCCACTGCACTCCAGCCTGGGCGACAGAGCAAGACTCCGCCTCAAAAAAAAAAAAAAAAAAAAAAATTAGCCAGTGGTGGTGGCACATATCTGTAATCCCAGCTACTTGGGAGGCTGAGGCAGGAGACTAGCTGGAACCCGGGACGCAGAGGTTGCAGTGAGCCGAGACTGCACCATTGCACTCCAGCCTGGGCAATACAGCAAGACTCTGTCTCCCAAAAACAAAAAAGAATTATTGCTGGAATGACATTTTTTTAAAAAATAGGCTGGGTGTGGTGGCTCATGCATGTAATCTCAGCATTTTGGGAGGCCTAGGCAGGCAGGTTGCTTTAGGCTGGGAGTTCGAGATCAGACTGGGCAACATAGCAAGACCCCAATTCTATAAAACCACAATAATTAACCAGACATGGTGGTGCACACCTGTAGTCCCAGCTACTCGGAAGGCTGAAGTGGGAGGATCTCATGAGCCCAGGAAGATTGCGGTGAGCTATGATTGCATCATTGCACTGCAGCCTGTTTGACAGAGTAAGAACCCATCTCAAAATAATAAACAATAATAATAATTAATTACATAGATATGGATTTAAAATATTTGCATTGAAACCCAAAGCTGTTTTCAGGGGGTGAAAAACGAACATTCTAACGATACAGAACGCTATGGCAAAGCACCAAGCATTGCAGGTCTTTGCTTCTTCATCTTCTGCCCCTACCTGGGCTCTTTCCTCCAGGTTTGATGTCCAGCTCTCTCTCTTTTTTGTTTTGTTTTGTTTTGTTTTGTTTTGAGATGGTGAATTGCTCTGTCACCCAGGCTGGAGTGCAGTGGCACGATCTCGGCTCACTGCAACCTCCGCCTCCCGGGTTCAAGCGATTCTCCAGACTCAGCCTCCCGAGTAGCTGGGGTTAAAGGCGCCCGCCCCTACTCCCAGCTAAGTTTTATATTTTTCATAGAGACAGGTTTTACCATGTTGACTAGGCTGGTCTCGAACTCCTGACCTCAGGCGATCCACCCGCCTTGGCCTCCCAAAGTGCTGGGATTACAGGTGTGAGCCATTGCGCCCAGACCCAGCTCTCTCTTTCCATAGGTCTTTGTCTGTCTTTGTCTCTGCCTTGGTTCTGCTGAGCTTCTTCCTGTACCTCGCTGGCCTCTCTTCATGTCTCTTTTCTCCCTGCTCCACTCCCTCCACGGTCTGACCAGGTCTGCCCAGCATGGCTGGCGATGGGAGACTGTGCCTTGCTTTGCCTTCCTGTGTACCATTCTCGGCGTGCTCCCTTTGCAAATCGGTCAGCTCGGGTGACTGAGATGTTCTGAGGATCTTGGTGCTCTCAGACTGACTGTCTCTGCCAGCCACTGCTCCCTGGGATCTTCTCTGCACTGTGCATGTCTCAGTCATGATGCTGTGTGCTTCCTCCTGCAGCGGACGCCCCAGGTGTGATCCCCGGGATTGTGGGGGCCGTCGTGGTCGCCGTGGCCGGAGCCATCTCTAGCTTCATTGCTTACCAGAAAAAGAAGCTGTGCTTCAAAGAAAACGGTAAGGCTCGCTCTGCCAGTGCCGCTCCTTCATGCCTTGCTGATTGGAAAACTGTGCTTTCTTTAAAAGGCAGAGACCAAACTCGGGCTGGCACGAAACAGGTGCACGATGACTGGTGGTTCGTGAAACCACTAAAACTTTGGAATCAGACCTTCTGGCTTTGATTCCAGGGCTGTTCTGCCTTGTGTTTCATTGTGTGAAAGTTTACAAGTTCTCACTGCTGCAGTGCTTGGGTTTTTTACGTCTACAAAGTGGGAAATGGTTGGTACATACGCCGAGGAATTGTTGCAGGGGCTAGAGACAGTCCTGCAGGAAAGCCTCCACAAGTTTCCCTGCAGAGAGCAAAGGTGGAAGACACTTAGCTCTGATGATTCCTGCCTTGTTATTTACAATCAATGTCATCATTAGGAGGAGAGCCGTGATGAGGGGGCTGTCACGGTCCTTTCTTCACCCAGGAGAGTTAAGTTAAAACCCAGCACAAGGCCGGACACAGTGGCTCACAGCTGTAATCCCAGCACTTTGGGAAGCCAAGACGGGTGGATCATGAAGTCAGGAGATCGAGACCATCCTGGCTAACATGGTGAAACCCCATCTCTATTAAAAATACAAAAAATTAGCCGGGCGTGGTGGCGGGCGCCTGTAGTCCCAGCTACTCAGGAGGCTGAGACAGGAGAATGGCATGAACCCAGGAGGCAGAGCTTGCAGTGAGCCGAGATTGCACCACTGCGCTCCAGCCTGGGCGACAGAGCGAGACTCCGTCTCAAAAAACAAAACAAAACAAAAACCAGCACTGCGGATTCCCTTTCTGTTAGTACTGAAAACCCACACGCACCCAGGACCTGGGAAGTTTCTTGGGTCGGGACTAAAATTTACAGGGGAATTAGGAGGAGCACGTACTCACCATTGCAGTCCTCCTAGGCCAGTCAGCAGGCTCTTTGGGATCTTGTATTCAAAAGTCCCTAAATCATTTAGGATCCGCCGTGAAGTTGGGAAGTAAACCCTGCTATTTGGAACACAGCTAACGTGCATGCATCACTGGGCAGTTATGTTTAGCTCTGGCCTCCCTCTTGCATGACCAAGCAGTGTGGTTTGCAGGGATCTCATCGACCGGGAACAGCTACTCTTATTTTTCATTTTTTTTCTTGAGGCAGAGTTTTGCTTTGTTGCCCAGGCCGGAGTGCAGTGGCGCAATCTCGGCTCACTGCGTCCTCCAGCCCCCCGGGTTCAAGCAATTCTCCTGCCTCAGCCTCCTGAGTAGCTGGGATTATAGGCGCCCGCCACCACGCCCGGCTAATTTTTGTATTTTTAGTAGAGAGCGGGTCTCACCATGTTGGCCGGGCTGGTCTCCAACTCCGGACCTCAAGTGATCCACCCGCCTCAGCCTTCCAAAGTGCTGGGATTACAGGTGTGAGGCACCACACCCGGCCAACAACCACTGTTTTATGGAGGAGCCCCTGGGGTCCTTCACGCCTCTGGGTGTCTGAACATCTCACCCTACTTAGATCTTAAGTCCTGACTCATTCTTGGTCACTGATGTCATCCACCCAAAGCACTGCTTCCTGAAGATTTTAGGGAGATTCCTAGAACATTTGAATAGATGCTGGTATGGACAAAGTTAGACCGTAGGGGTGGAGTTTCCCCGTAATCTCCCATCATTCCAGCATTTGACATCCACAGACGTTATTTAGAGTGTAAAATGGAGAGTCCTAAACAGCTTTCAGGTCTCAAGACTTTAAATGAGCTGCGGGTGTTTATATTGCCATTCTTGCTGTGGGGTTTTGGGCAGTGTGTGGAAGACAGTTGCCTCCTACTTGCTGGGTGGACTAGTGGGAATGGTGTTTGGCTGTTTGTTTGTTTGTTTATTGAGATGAAGTTTCAGTCTGTCACCCAGGCTGGAATGCAATGGCTCCATCTCAGCTCACTGCAACCTCCACCTCCTGGGTTCTCCCACCTCAGCCTCCCAAGTAGCTGGGATTACAGGTGCACACCACCACGCACGGCTAATTTTTGTTTTTTTAGTAGAGGTGGAGTTTCATTATGTTGGTCAGGCTGGTCTCGAACTCCTGACCTTGGGTGATCCGCCCGCCATGACCTCCCACAGTGCTGGGATTGCAGGCATAAGCCACCGTGCCCAGCTGGCGTTTGGCTGATTGAATGGCAGTGTTGAGCGAGGCCCAAATGGACAGATTACCACCTTCAAGGAGATGCCTATAAGAGACCTACAATTAGAACCACGTTGGAAAAAAGCAAACAGCAAAACATTCTTCTCCCCTCTTGCTGCTTCTAGAAGTAGCAAAGAGGTTAAAACAGTAGGGACACAATGAAAGGGAATTTGTGTTTGCTTTTCAATGACATTTCTTTTTCTTTTCTGAAACTGTTCAACTCACAGCGTAATATTCAACCAGGAGGTATGGAAGGCTTGTTTGCCAGGACAGGATGTGTAATATTCTAGATGTTTTATTTCAAACTCTCGTTGTTTTTTTTTTTTTTTTTTTTTTGAGACGGAGTGTCGCTCTGTCACTCCGAGTGGAGTGCAGTGGCGCCATCTCGGCTCACTGCAACCTCTGCCTCCTGGGTTCAAGCAATTCTCCTGCCTCAGCCTCCCAAGTAGCTGGAATTACAGGTGTGCATCACCACACCCGGCTAATTTTTATGTTTTTAGTAGAGACAGGGTTTCACCATGTTGAACACACTGGTCTCGAACTCCTGACCTCAGGTGATCCCCCCACCTTGGCCTCCCAAAGTGCTGGGATTATAGGCATGAGTCAAAGCACCCGGCCTCTAGCTCTTTTTTAGAATCCCAGATAATTGTTGAACACTTTCGCATTAAACTACAAAATCTCTGATTGATGATTCTCTGAAAATCTTTGGGTCAACCCAAATTGGATTCATGAGTTGCAAAGGATGTTTATTACCTTGTGCATGCGGTCTTAGGAACTTTTGGGATCTTGTAATGCTATTTCATATTCACATCCTGTATTAGTCTGTTTTCACACTGCTATGAAGAACTGCCTAAGACTGGGTAATTCATGAAGGAAAGAGGTTTCATTGATTCACAGTTCAGCATGGGCGGGGAGGCCTCAGGAAATTTACAATCATGGCAGAAGGGGACGCAATGCACCATCCCATTATCATGAGAACAGCATGGGGGAACCTCCGCCATGATTCACTGACCCCCACCTGGTCTCTCTCTTGACACCTGGGGATTATGGGAATTACAATTCAAGATGAGATTTGGGTGGAGACACAGAGCCTCACCATACCACATCCCAAGACACACAAACTTGGGAAGGCACCCAGGAGGCTTAATAGGCTTGATTTTGTAAAAAATTTGGAAATAGAGTTGGGAAAAGGAAAAACAATATTTTCTCTGCCTTATCCGCGCCCCCACCCCTGAGTCTTGGTCTTGGGTGGGAGCATTATCTTCATTTATTGCAGGAGGTGGGGCAGGCATGAACAATGAAAGCTCTCACTGAGTAGAAACAATTTTCCTAGATTTTTCAAGAACAAAAGCAAATGTGTCCCGGCCTGGTGGCCCACACCTGTAATCCCAGCACTTTGGGAGTCCGAGGAAAGAGGATCGCGTGAGCCCAGGAGTTCAAGATCAGCTTGGGCAACATAGCAAAACCTCATCTCTGCAAAAAATGTAAAAAATTAGCTGGGCGTGCTTGCATATGCCTGTGGTCCCAACTACTCTGGAGGCTGAGGCATGAGGATTGCTTGAGCCCAGGAATTGGAGGCTGCAGTAAGCCATGATTGCACCACTGCACTCTAGCCTGGACGACAGACAGAGACCCTGTCTCTAGATATAAAAATAAAAATAACTTTTTTTTTTTTTTTTTGAGACGGAGTCTCTCTGTGTCACCCAGCCTGGAGTGCAATGGCGCGATCTCGGCTCACTGCAGCCTCTGCCTCCCGGGTTCAAGCGACTCTCCTGCCTCAGCCTCCCGAGCACCTGGGACTACAGGCGTGTGCCACCACGCCCAGCTAATTTTTCATATTTTTAGTAGAGACAGGGTTTCACCGTGTTAGCCAGGATGGTCTTGATCTCCTGACCTCATGATCTGCCCGCCTTGGCCTCCCAAAGTGCTGGGATTATAGGCGTGAGCCACTGCGCCCGGCCCCCAAAAGAATTTTTTTTAAAAAAGCATCCTTTCTGAAGAATTGGCTCAGGGGAGTCCAAGATTCACTTTATACTACTGAGATGCTAGGGTAATTTTCTTCTAATATTTTCCGTAAGTCTTTTATTCTGATGCCAAATTAACAGAAGGTCCAACTTTCAATTCCTGGTTTGCTTTCTAGTTGTCCAGGGATTGATTTTCTTGGCCTTTTGTAAATGCACAAATCAAAGGACCAAAAAGAAAATAAATAAAGCATAATAAGAGAAGCAAGAGATGGTGAAACCCCATCTTTACTAAAAATACAAAAATTAGCCGTGCCTGGTTGTGGGTGCCTGTAATCCCAGCTACTTGGGAGGCTGAGGCAGTGAATTGCTTGAACCTGGGAGGCGAAGGTTGCCGTGACCCAAGATTGTACCACTGTACTCCAGCCTGGACAACAGAGCGAGACTCTGTCTCAAAAAAAAAGAAAAAGAAAAAAAGAAAACGAAAACAAGGCACTATTCTATAAATGCCAAGACACTGCCTCAAAAGAGGACTTTTCCAACTGCATCCACTCACATCTTGGTTTTTATACCTGAATTATAAAATGAGTTTAATGTTTATCTCAGTGACACAGTTTTATTAGTAGACATGGAATTGTGATGTTGGATCGAGGTATCCGGAAGACAAAAGATGTCAGAGCCCTCAGCCTCTGTGGCAGAATTTTGCTTTATGGGTTTGGTTTCTGGGATGGTGATTTTGAGATCTTGCAATCCCATGGGTTTATGGGGAGCTTGGAGATTTCATAAGAAGGATGTGAGTATAGCATGCCCCGGTCCTTCAAGAAACCATGGGCCAGGCGCAGTGGCTCATGCCGGTAATCCCAGCACTTTGGGAGGC